AGCTCTGTGCGGTGCCCCCTTGCTTACTGCCTTTCTGGGGAATTGGCTAGCATTGGCTCGAGAGTCCACAGTTCAAATGGTTTTACTCAAAGCGATCCCAGTTGAAAGCCGGTCTGGTTTTGCTAGCTGGGGGGGGGGGCGTGAGGGGGGTGGAGGGCAGGTTTCCGATAATTATCCAAACTGCCCAGCAGCTAAGAGGACAAGCTTCCTCTTGACTTCAGCTGTGTTTGCAGATCATGGCCTTAGCCTCTGGCTGGAAAAAGCATTCAACGTTTTTAATGTGTACGCAAATGAATTTATTTAAAAGAGAAAAAAAAACCCTGTTCCCTTAAAAATGTGTACGTACGTCGGCTTCTCCATGTTACCCATCTACAGTAATTAAACCAAATGGAGGCAGAAGTGCCCTCTTCTCCCCACTCCCCGCCCTTCCCTTCCCTGTGAGACACCTTCCTGGGCTGCAATGTACAATAATTTAACACAGTTGCCTGTATTTTTATTTTGTAAATTCATTATACTAATAATTATAAATTAACTGCCAGTGGCTTGGCGTGTGTCTGAGGCTGCTCTGTTAACGGTGGAAGAAGGTGTGATCCTGATTGTAACGCTAGGTAGAAGCACTGCCTTGTTTCAGATTTCTGGGATTAGACCCGTCGGCACTCGGTGCTCACGGGGGACACGTTAGAGCGCCTTACATTTTTCAGGAATTGGGGTGGCGCTTCTTCCAGGAAGCACTGTGTTGCAAAGGTTGGGTTTAGGAACCTCTTAGGTTGCACTTTTCAAAACAGAAGTCTATTTCACATTGCTTAGTCTTACCCTGATGAGGAGATTGGATGTCTGATGGCTTAAAGCAGGGCTCTTCAAACTTTGCCCTTTTATGACTTGTGGATTTCAATTCCCAGAATTCCTCAGCCAGCAATTCTGGGAGTTGAAGTCCATAAGTCATAAAAGGGCCAAGTTTGAAGACCCCTGGCTTAGAGAGCCCTTCCAGCTTCAAAGGATTGTCCCAATATACTAATTGCACTTTTCTTCTTGGTTGTTCTGTCCTTACTAGCAGATAACCATATTCTGTTCGGTTGGAAGTTCCTTTTGGAAAGGAAGTAAAAAATAGGTTGTCTTTAAGTACTTTAAAAGGTTTTGTGCTAGTCTGGCTTCAGGTGAGCTGTGTCTGGAATTCATGTGTGACAGTGGAATATTTCGGCAGCGATGTGAAAACCGGGTATGAGAAAGTAGTTTACTTAGGGCTGGATATATAGCAAATAAAAAAGCACATTTGTTTGTGTGATCATCTAAGACTCCCATTTACCGGGGGGGGGGGGTGCAGGGGTGGGGGGAGGCAAATATATCAATAAACACATATCGAAGCAACTATTTCAGTTTATTAGTAGATGTGCTTTTTTGAAATGCAGTTTTGGATAACTATGGTTAGTGAATCACCACGCTAAGGGAGGATAGTAGGACTGAATTAAATGCTAGGGAATAAAGTAATGGCTCAGGCTTAACTGATTGTCCCCTAGCAGAATGATGCTTTTCTCAGTATGACAAAGGCAATGTGGCACACTCACACAAGCTTCGTGTCTGCAGTCCCAAGACTCAAAAGATTGGAATTTAGGGTGCTGCTTTCATTCTTTGAAAACCACTTGAATGGTTCTGGCTGCTGGTAAGAGTTAATTGGCCAAAGGAAATCTGGGAGCCATACAGCTCCTGGACAAAAATTTGATAGCAAGAGGCCCAGAGAGCTGGCTCCCAACCTGTTACCAGTGTATCCCTGAAAAGGATTTCTGCAAGCTTCTAACCCCAACACAATGCCATTAATATTTACATTCACTGAGAGGAAGATTCCGTATAAGCTATGGCATTTCTGACCACGTGTACGCATAATTCCAGAAGAAAATTCCAGGGAAAGATCTGCTTCTTGCCTTGAACCTGGCAAATGCCCATTTTTCTTAATTCAAAGTTCTCAATTTCAATGCAATTTTTAATTGCAAGCACAGAACGCAAACAATGCGTTTTACACGGTGGGTCAAAAGACTTTATTAAACGGCAGAAAATACAGGACCTCATAACTTATTTCAGATTTCTGGCTCAAGCCTGTGTCCCAAAAAGTTAAGAATTTGGGTTCTGCAGCCTTTCAGTGCAACTCGCAGGGAATCAGTTTGAAATGGGCCCCACACGAAGGGCAGCGCTCCATTTTATCTTTGTGAAGCCAAAAGTAGTAGGTTTCAGTGGCATCTTCCTCACCTACAAAAGGGCAGAAACAAGGTGATCAGAATGCTACAGAAGCATTAGGAAAATATACACACTACGCAAGCAAAGGCTGCCATATATGTGCAGCAAATAAATAAGCAAAACCTAGCTGTTTCAAGTTTTTTAAAAAAAGCAATCTTCTGAACCCTTTGGAATTTTGGTAAGAAAATGTATGTGGTTGCAGAAAAAAATGAGTGAAGCAGCAAACATAAGAAAGGGTTTCAAAGGGATCCCTCCTGTAACCAGGGATGTACAAATGAGAGAGAAGCATGCTCGGCAGCAGCTAGGTTAAACACTTAGGGAAGGGAAAGACCAAATGGCCAAAACGACACAATATTTCAGATGCAAATAGGAAAGGTGCTTCATAGCATAAGGGGCAAACAGCACAGTGCTTGGCAATTTCCTGATCCAAAGGGGTCTTTCTGTGGGATCAGGCTATAGCTATGGTCACATGATGTGAGGCATTGCAGACGAATGCTCTAGGTCAGTATGTCTTAATCTCAGCCATTTTAAGATACGTGGACTTCAACTCCCAGAATTCCTGAGCTAGCGTAATTCTGAAGAGTCGAAATCCACACACCTTAAAATGGCTGAGGATGGAAAACACTGGTCTGGATGGCCCCGTTTGCTTCAAAGCAGCTTGTTGCTTTGGATTTGGAGTGCTACCAACCCTAGAGAGGAAAGTGGTTTTAAGATCCTCCTCAGCCCTGGTCCAGAGGATGTGGCCTTTTTGAGGAGAGATGCTTTGTTTACACCAGCACTCTGCCTGGAGGGTCCTCTTCAAATGCTTTGCACGCCTGTTTGTATGTCACTGGGCTTGCACTTCTAAAGAAATTTCAGCTAATGAGATGGGAGCTCCCCATCCTTCTAAAACAGGGGTGTCAAACTGCCAAAGGCATCATAGCGAAACCGCGCCCAGCCCATTGCCAGCAATGGAAAAAGAGTCACCATAAGTTGCGACACGTCACGTGACGTTGCGAGTTTGACACCCCTGTTCTAAAAGAAAGGGGTGTTTTTTTCTGCATCAAGAACAATACTTCTTTCTGCAACCAGATTTCAAATGCCTCCCCTCAATGGTCTTTGGGGGTAAACACTGTTCAAGAAACTGGTCTCAATAAAGGAGAATATTTGAAGGGTCCTTGATGCTCTGTGAGTTGGTTGCTTTCTTGAGGACGTTTCATTACCTACATTAGCTATCATCAGTGCTGATGCATTGATGCTTCCTATTGTGGGTAATGAAATGTCTGCAAGAAAACAACAAACTCAGAGAGCACCATAGACCCTTCAAAACTTCAAAAAACAAGTCCATCGCATGAGGAGCCACTTACAGATGCAGCCCACGAGCCTCACGTTTGTCAAGGAGGGGACAAGGTGGGGGTCGTCTTTTGTTCCCCCGTATGGTTTGGGTGGATATACTCCATAAGGATCCTACAACCAGCAGAGAGAGAGAGAGAAAAGTTAAAAGTTCTTAAATCATGTAGCAATGTACCATCCTTAGCCCCAATTCTAAGGTTATTGATAGCGAATCTCCTTTGATAACTTTTATCCTCAAACTTTTCATTATCCAATTCTGCCATTAGGAGAACTAGGCCCCCAGGCCCTGGATTAACTGCATCTTTCCAACTACCAATTTCCAGTCAAGAATGATGGCTTAGACTGGATTCTGAAGCAATCTAGATTTCTCTGTCAAAGGCCTTGTTGATCACTGATCGACAAAATCATTGTCTTCATGTACAGGGCTATGGTGGAGGATATGTTACTTTGGGCAGGCTCAGTAGCTGACCCTTTTAATTAAGTCTGGAAGGTGAGTGATGACAAGTGAGGTAGCTAAAACGCTGCCCCTCCAAGAAAGAAGCGAGGTTCCTTATGGTCAACTGTTTCATTGCTCAAAGAAGTGTTGCTGTGCTTGGTTTTGCTCACCTCTCCTTTCTTTATAGTATCCATAATTTTCCTCTCCATTCCTGTGGCCTGTTCTTCATCAGTAGGCATACCTGGGGTAGAGAAGGTCAATATTAGGCAATCCGAAAGATTCCTCCTCTTGTCAGAAATTCCCATCAGCTTTTTGATGGAAAATACAGATAATTTGGTAATTATGGCACAGCAGTGAGATTTATGGGTGTTTGCAGTTATTTTTATTATGGAGGGTGGCTATTGCCATTTTACTGTAACGTGCACCTTTTAGCATTTTTAAAATAGATTTAATACCATGGAATATCTATCTATTCGTTATATAGGCGATGTGTCATTTTATCTTGAGACTGTTGACTTTATGTATATAAACCCTTATTATTTTTAGCCAGTCTACAGTCCTGTGATAAAATGACACATCACCTTTATAACGAGTGTAATAATTTCTGGCTTGGTTTTAATTACGAAAAGAAGCCTCAGCAAGACCCCCTTTTGCACAACCTGAAGCCCGCCCGCCCCGCGTGGCTTCCAGGCACTCCCATCCCGGGTGGGAACGATGGGAAGTGTAGTCTTAGCCTGGGAGGGAACGCCCGCCCGCCCGGGAAAAGCTCACCTCCGGTGCTTGCCGCGCGAGATCCCGCCGCCAGAGGCCCCGGCCCCACGCGGAGAGCCCGCCAGGCTCCGCAGACCCGGAGTAACCTTGACGCCATAACAACCCTTCAAAAGCTGCGGTCGCCTCAGAGACGCCTCTTCCTCCTCTGCGGGGCAGGAAGTTCTGGTCACGTGCCCCTCCTCGCCTCTCGACCTAAGATGGCGGCGCGGCCCTTTCCGGTGCGGCGCCGCCACACGGCTAATGGCGTGGCCAAGGTGGCCCCACCCACGGGGCGCCCTGGGAAGAGGCGGGAAAGTTTGAAACGTGGAGAGTTCGGGTTGTCCGAAGCCAGATGCCCGTTATTTGGGCAAAGAGTTGGCACTGCCCTCTCCTCTAGGCTCCTCTGGAGGTCCTCTGAATTTGGATAGACACCCCGCCCGGATTGTTCTCCGTTTTCTTTCCTTTAGCCTCGTTTTCTGCTATGGTTTCCTCGAGAAATGTTACCTGCAAAATTGCAAGGATTTGTCCAGGTGGTCTGGGAGAATGGGACACGGCTGAACGAAAGGAGAAGGGGGAAAAAATGCTTTTTAATAACCCCCTGTTAGCGTTTTAGCATGACGTCCGTGGCTCCTTCTTAAGTTTAAAAAAAAAAAAACCCCACCGTGTTTTCCTTTTTAGCCAAAACTATTTCTGTTAATGGGCAGAAGTTAGCCTATTCAGAAAGTAAACAAAAGGCCCTGTTGGGGCAAGCGTGGAGTGTTGCAAGTGTTAAAGAAACACGCCCGAATGAATTTCCTGACGGTTTGAACAATTAATTGGTGGAACGGCTTGCCTCCAGAAGTTCTGGGTGCTCCATTACTGGAAGGTTTCGAAAAGGGATTGTCTGGAATGGTGTAGACTAGAGTTTCTTGCTTGAGAACGGGGTTGGAGTAGAAGACCTCCAAGATCTCTTCCAGCTCTATTCTGATTGACTGATGTACACAAAGGCAAATAACCCCACCTTTCTCATGTCTTCTCCCAGCCATTATATATTGTATAGCTCAGAAAGCTCAGTCTGCCCAAGGAGTTGCTAACACAGTTCTACAGAAGAATTATTGAGTCTTCCATTTTGTACCTCTATAACAGTCTGGTATGGCACAGCAACCAAACAAGACAGACACAGGCTTCAACGGATAGTTTGGATACTTAGAACTGCGGAAATAATTGCTACCAACCTATCTTCCATAAAGGACCTATATACTGCACGAGCCAGAAACAACGGTGAGAAAATATCTACAGACCCCTCACATCCTGGACATAAACTGTTTCAATTTCTCCCCTCAGGATGCTGCTACAGGGCATTGCATGCCAAAACAACTAGACATAAAGACATTTTCCCTCCATGCCATCACTCTACTAAATAAATACCTAATTCCCACAGCACTGTCTTAGGCCTAAAAATATTTACCCATCTAGTAGGGCTGTATTGCATTATCCTTCTCATCTTTCCTACTACCTTCTCCTGTTGGTACCTTATGATTTATCACTTGTTTGTATCTTATGATTGTTGTATCTTATGAGTGATTATTTATCATTTTGTTGTTTGTATGTATGTACACTGAGAGTTTATGCACCAGAAACAAATTCTGTGTGTGTCCAATCACATTTGGCCAGTAAAGAATATTCCAATAAAGAATATTCCGATGAACTGTCATAGTTGGTCCTTTTCATTCTGGAATGACCAGTTAACTATTAATTATACGGCAGTTACTGAGTGTACTCACAAGGATGCTTTAGGATTACAGTTAGATGTTCTGGTATATCTGGTCATTTTTACATTTTCTTCCATATTTTGTCTTATAGGGGTACTTGTACCGTTTCAGCCATACTTGCGCTATAGAAAAAAATTCCTGTTTAAGGCAGCTAACTGAACTTCGAGAAGGCAAACGTTTTCAAACTGTGGTTACATGACTTTTCTATACATGTCATTAGGAACAAAGTGGCTGATTTGGGTAAGAGCAACCAATTTCTTTATTATACATGATTATTGACTGAGGTGAGCGGTCATAATAATTGAACAAATCAATTTCTAGTTTGCTTCTTGTTTTGGGAATTTATACAAGACAGCAGTTTGGTCAAAGATTTGTGTTTCTAATTATTGTATAGTTGTACTCCTTTTCACTCATTCTTTCCCTGACAATATTTGTCTGCTATTGTCAGTTTATTCTGATTTTCATCTTAAATATGGTTTCATAATGTCTGCTAATATTTGCTAACGTCCTGCAAACCATAAAAGCAAATATGATTTTATGTGATCTGTCCCCACCCCTTAATAAAGCCAATGATTTCATGGGGGTAAAGATAAGGTTAAAAAACTGCCATTGCTGTTTAATAATTACATCTTATATTCTATAAAATAAAACAAGGATGGAATCTTATAATTCTATAAAGTAAAATTGATTAAAATACTGCATTTTGTTAACATTCACACGTCTACTGATGCTCAAAGTATGGTTAGATGGATACTTCATATCACCTCAGCAGAAATGCTAGACTTGCCTACAACTTTCTAAAAGAAGCTAAATCTAAATATTGCTGATCAGTAGCAATGGAATACAAATTTCCAATAAGACAGTGTAGGAGAACTGTGTTAAGTCTGCAGTTGTAAAAACAAAAAACCAGGAATGTGATAGCAGGTTTTCCAACCAACTAACTTTTATTAAAAGGCATAAGCTTTTGTGCAGCTCACATCATTAGATGTATACTGTAGAATGACTTTGATAAAGGGAGCTGTAGCTCACAAAAGCTTATGCCTTTTAATAAAACTTGTTAGTTGGAAAAGCTACTACCTTCCATTTTCCAATTTCCAATAATAAGTTTGTCACTGATAAATAGGGGGTGGGGATTATGCTCTGCAGAAATGAGAGTTTGGTCCATTTGTATTAAAAAATGCCAACCCATGAAATACATTTTAATTAAAGCAAATTTACAAAAAATCTTCATGTAAATTTTAACACGATGGCTTTTTTAGCCGAGTAAGCTTTTGTAAAATAAACAGCAATGCAAGCACAAAAGTTCATTTAAAAAAACAACGCAGAATTAAGTGGTGAGTATGAGAATAAAACAGAAGAGAATAAAATACTGTCTTTGGCCAAGTGTGCTTAGATACATCAGCGCTTCGAAAGTACAAATTCTGGCCGTTGGAAGTCCATCCATCTTAAGGCTGCCAAGTCTGAGACACTCTGACTGAGACGGGGAACCTATTTGTGCAGGTAGCGCAGGTGGGACTCCATTTCCCATAAGACCCCGCGCCGCAGCACGAGCGGACAGCTGTGAAATGACGCGCCTGCAAAGGTGGCCAAGAGCACGTGGCCGGCCTTGACTTTCCGAAGCGCGGGTTTTTTTCCCACCGAGGCCGCCGATTGGCTGAAACTCCGCTGGGTCCCGCCTCTTCTCCCCACTTGCGGGAGAGGAGCTCGGACAGCTGGGTTGGGATTGGCTCCCTTCTGGCTAAGAGTCACTCCCGGTATCCAATTGGATGTCCCGAGGAGCGTTGGCATTTGAAACAGGTAGACGCCGGCGACTGTTAGCGAGCGGTCGGGGCGTTTCTCCGGCAGGTAGAGCGCCAGGTGGCTCTTCCTTGGACGGGGGGGTCCCTTTTTGGGGGGGTCGCTCCCCCAGCCTCCACTGCGGGTCAGGGCGTTGTGGGAACCCAAGTTGTAGCCCAGCGTGTTGAAGGAACCCGGCTGGCCCGAGCTGCCCATCGGCAGAGTTACAGAACGATCCGCCCCCGACTTTTGCCGCCCCGATTCATAGCCAGTAATTAATTAAAGCGCCGGTAATTAGTAGCTTTAGGTCAGTGACTCTTAAATTGGGGGGGGGGTCATTGGGGCGACCATGGAAGAGAGAATCAGGACTGGAAAGGACCTGGGTGGTCTTAACACAATAACAGAGTGGGAAGGGACCTTGGAGGTCATCTAGTCCAACCCCCTGCTCAGGCAGGAAACCCTATGCCATTTCAGACAGGTGGCTGTCCAGTCTCTTCTTAAAAGCCTTCAGTGATGGAGTCCCCACAACATCTGAAGGCAAGCCATTTCACTGGTTAATTGTTCTCACTGTTTTCGGAAATTTCTTCTTAGTTCTAGGTTGCTTTTCTCCTTTCCATTCCCTAGTAGTCCAACCCCTTGTATCCCGGGAGTAATGCAGCAATTGGAAGTTGTTTGTTTGTCAATCCAGGATCCAGCTGGGGTCTTGCCTAAAGCCACAGTCTGGGTTTTTTTTTTGTGGGACTAATGACATCACTAGAGACCAGGAAAAGTGGCAATGGGGATAGCTCAGTTTTAAGAAGGGCTGGCTTAGGTGTATGCAGCAAATCCTGACACCAAAGTAGTAAGAATGGCTTTTTACGAAGCACCTGTTTTATTAGTCCAGACTTTTTTTTTCTAGTTTTGTCACTGGAATTAATCTCTCTCCCTCCTTCCAAGACCTACACTATCTTAAGTGCCTGACACACACTTATGGTTATCTGTGCTTAGCTCCCTGATTTCTTCCACCCAGTTATCTGCAATGAGAATCCAAACCTTAAACTAATGATAGTCCCAGGTTTACACAAGTGACTAGCTAGCCTAAAAGTTATTTGTTAAATTTATTTGCTGCTTATCTTACTATGGTCAACTTCACAATAAACATGGAGAGTAAAAAGTGTAAACGTAACAGCAGAGTAATGGAACAATGAACACTGAAAAAGACAATGAGAATACATTGATAGGAGAGTAAAAGATGAGCAGGTGGGGTTTGCTTTCAAACTAGTAGCCACTGCAAACAAACATCAAACTAAGTTTGATGGTTTGTGGTTGTATTGGTTCCAGGAGCATAGCTCAGATCAATGAGAATTGAAGCTTTGTACTCTTCAGGGCTTGGAGCTGTATTACAGGTAGTCCTTGACTTATGACCATAGTTAAGCCTAATATCTCTGTTGTTAAGTGAGACATTTAAGTGAATTTTGCCCCATTGGAGGACCTTTCTCGCCCTAGTTGTTAATTGAATCACTGCAGTTCAGTTAGGGACACGGTGGTTAAGTGAATCTAGCTTCCCCCGTTGACTTTGCTTGTCAGAAGATGGCAAAAGGGGATCACGTGACCCAAGGGACTTTGCGACCGTCGTAAATATGAGTCAGTTTCCAAAGCATCTGAATTTCGATCACGTGACTGCAGCAGTCGTAAGAGTGAAAAACAGTCACAAGCCACTTCAGTGCCATTGTAACTTTGAAGGGTCACAAGCTGTTGTACATTGAGGACTACCTCCATTTCAGTGCGGCTTTGCAATTTAGCCAGTTGGGCTATCCAGGTCAGGGGGCGGCTAGTCCATCAGTTTGCAGCCGAGAGAAAGATGATGCCATCAAGGGTGGCAGAGGCAGATGGTCATTTAACAGATGGTGTGATTATCATCCGTTGAGTCATCAGCTGCCTCTGCCTGCCTCCATCTCTTCTGTTCCCTCTGGTTACCAAGGTTGACTTAGAACTGCTCTCTGCTGTGGCTTAATTGCACATAAACCATGGCTCAGGTAACAAAGGGGCAAGTATGGTGCTTGAGCGGTTGAAGTAGCTCTTCCGTTTCTCCTTTCCCTCTCCGTGTCTGTGTAGCGCTGAGTTACGTCTGAGAGCAGGAACAGCTTATGTTTGCTATGGATTTGTAGAGTGCCTTAAGAACCTTTTTTGTTGTTGGTGGTGTTGAAAAGCAGGATTAAAATACTATCAATATTGAATACTTTTTTTGGCCATTAAGGCTATTTAAGAGCCATGGTGTTGTTCTCTTGGTAGAAGGAGGAACAAGTGGATTGTGGCTATGTATTATAAGATTGAATAATGTCTCTTTTGAGCAAGATGTATTTTTAGAATGGAGGGCTTTTTTTTCTTTCTTTCTTTCTGGCTCTTCAGAAAATTCCTCGGAAAATATAGCAAGCGACTTTGCTGGGTATACCACGAGCCTGAAGCGAATTTGTTTTGGGATATCCAGATATCGGGGATATTTCTAGGTGTGGCAAAAATAAGCGTCTTCTTGCTTCCAAACCCTCTCCTTGTGGCTTAATGTGTTGCATGAAACTGAGCATTGCAGTTTGTAAACTGTGGTTTAGTGTGGTCCATGAACTCAGCCAATTGCAATTTATTTAACAACCATCGTTAATGAATCAAGTCCGGTGAGTTTCAGACAGTGCTGCAGTTGTAGCCCATTATCGGGGAAGAAGTGTTCTCTGAAGGCTTGCTGACATTTTATGTGATGACTTAAAACAGTGCAAATGTTGTGAGGGAGCCTCACAGAATCAAATTTGGACATTTTAAGGTGGTAACGGACCCTGTTTATCAGCAGCAGGACAGTCTCCTTGTGGGTCCCCGTGTTTGTGTAGCTGTTGTGATAATGAGATGGAGTTTCAACCTGTCTTGAGCATCAGAGTCTCGATAATCTGTAGGTGAAGTTCGTTTGACAACCCAGGGGGTAGCCCAAAAAATAAAAAAAAAATCAAGATGGTAGCCATGACAGTGTCAATTGAACCTTCGGAGCAATCAAGCTCTGAGAGCACCAAGGACTCCGTAGTCCAACCTTGAGCTGCAGATACTGTCTTCTCTTATTACAATTATTATTACAATACTTCACAGTAAAGTATTCATAGCCACTGAGTAACGGAAGCATCCTGTGGAAGCATATCTGTCTAGTCCAGTGGTTCTCAACCTTTTTAATGTCGCGACCCCCAACCAGTCGTAAGTCGAGGACTACTCAACCGGTCGTAAGTCGAGGACTACTCAACTGGTGCAGCACCGTTTGCAGAATGGGACTTTTGGCGGGCTCAGCAGAGCAGAGACAGCCTGGACAATTCCTATTGGCTTTGGAAAGCCAATAGAATTAGACTCTATTCAAGAGAGTCTCTTCTATTGGCTTTCAAAAGCCAATAGAATAAAAGGGAGTAGCACAGCTAAGGAAAAGGGGGAAAAATGGGGGACTGCGTTGTTTGGCAACCCCCGTGAAATGGTTGTTCGACCCCAAATGGGGTCCCGACCCACAGGTTGAGAACCACTGCTCTAGTCTATGTCTGTTTATGTGTTTTTTAAATATGGTTTAATATGCTTTTTGTATTCTGTTTTTTGTATTGTTTTTAATTGTTGTAAGCTATTCACAGTCATGTATTTGAGGTGACTATATTAACTGAAATAATAACTCTTCTTCCATGCAAAAGTGATTCAAAAGAAAGATGGTAGCAGGACTGGATGCATAACACTCTCAGCTGGAAACACCAAATAACCGGGAGAATTCTACTCTGTCATAAAAAAAAATGAAGAGCAGAGCAGAATACTTTATTGGTCAAGTGTATTGGACACCCAAGGAATTTGTCTCTGGTACATAAGCTCTCGGTGGACAACAACAAAGTGAATAGGTCATCCGTTATAAAATTATAGTTGCAATCATTCATCGTAATACCATAAAAATCCATTTATATTTGTTTTCTTTCTGTAGGTCTGGAAGCCTTCCAAGCAGCCTTGGAACAATATAAATTACTGTTTTATCACTTTGTTTGTTTGTTTTGACAGGGTCACCGTGTTGTCCTCCTGGGCAGAGAGAGAGAGAGAGTGCGTGTAGGCGAGGCAAAGAGGTAACCTCTTTGCAGCTGTTTCCAAGCGAAGACAAACGGGTCTGAGCTTCTCTTTCCGAGTTCAAACCGGGAGAGAGATTGGCCGTACTCATGAAAAAGTCAGATAAACAAAGCTTGGGAAAACCCTCTGCACTGGATAGCCAACCTGGGACATCCAAGGATGCCTTAAAGCAGATGCGCCAGACCCCGCTTTCCAAAGAAACCTCTAAAGTTAGCTTGATTTCCCAATCCAAGATGACTTCGTTCAGCAAAGAGTTGTTCAACACCTGGCGAGATATTCGTTGGTTCCAAATTCCTTTGTCATCTTTGAGGAGACCCAAAGCTGGTCTCTTTAGCTTCACCTTCCAGTCCAGCCTGCAGAAGTACCAGCAGCTTCGGAAAACAAAACGACTGAAAGTTGGCAGGCCCTTCTCTGTCCTGCCTTTCCCTAGCTTATCCTTGCCGTTTACGGATCCTCCATCGTTTCCAGATGCATTGCGGGTAAGCAGTGAAGCCAGGATTGGTTTGTTTGGGAGAAGAGAAGAGAGCAGAGAACGTAAGCTCTCTCTCTAGTGCGAGACGGTATCGATCAGGTTTCTTTCCTCAGTGTTTTAACTGGCAAGCAGACGTCCGAACCACTCATCATCTCTTGGTATGCAGATGAATTGTGTGTAAACTTGCCTCAAAAGACATTCACTGGTAGAATTGTGAGACTGTATGTCAGGGGTCTTCAAACTTGGCCCTTTTATGACTTGTGGACTTCAACTCCCAAAATGCCTGGCTGAAGGGCCAAGTTTGAAGACCCCTGGTCCATATTGATTGACTTGGTAGATGAACCATGCTGGAAACTAAATGGTTGTGAAAAGACTGAGGACGCCATCAAGAACAGGGTTCTTCAAACTTGGCCCTTTTATGATTCTGGGAGTTGGAAGTCCATAAGTCCTAAAAGGGCCAAGTTTGAAGACCCCTGCTGTATGGTATTAAAAACGATTCAATTTCTTTGTCCTCTTGGTCAAAGATGAGGTGCCCATGTTGATTGGCCCCAGGCTGAAAGATCCTTCATATGAAGGGATGTATGTTGAGGTTTCCTTGGTCATAAGTTTGCTTTGGGGGCCTTTTATCCTATATAAATTTAAAGGTAGCACAAGGCCTTAAGGCAGCAACAGGTGCAAGATTTATCCTTTTAAAAAATACCTTTGAATAAATAATGGCTGGATTGGTGGACACACTCAACTGATATAGGATTGGGAGAGTTGGAGGTGAGGTGTTTTTTCTTTCATTGTGAATCAGGCCATCAGATTGTCTGGAATTTTGTACTTTGCATTTTTCATATCCCCGGGACTGTGTTTTGTTCACTTGGAGTAAGGATTGTGTTTACATGAGTCCAGTTATTAAACAAGCTTTTTTCAATCTTGCCTTTGTCCTGCAGGGTGATAATCACAGATCTTCGAGAAATGATAGATCTAAAGTCCGCAAAAGACTCTCAGCCCATAGAAATGGTAATAATATTCTGAAATATATTTCTGATGATCTTGGAGTGGGTGGGGGATGGGACATTGTCCTGTGGCCAATTTTAGGATGGTTGCTGCAAAAGTAGACCTAACCTCAACGGGGGAGGGGTGAAACTTGGCTTTTTGACCTGGTTTCCTTGTACTTTATATCAGGGGTCCCCAACCCCCGGTCCATGGACCGGTACTGGGCTGCGGCATGTCAGCAACTGGTCTGCACAAACAAGCAAAGCCCCATCTGTGGGATGCAGGCAGCACACAAAACCACGTACTCTCCGGTCTGTGGAAAAACCTTTCTCCACGAAACTGGTCCTTGGTGCCCAAAAGGTTGGGGGCCTTTGCTTTATATTATTGGGGCAAAGGGACAGGGTTCCTAATGAAGCAAATGTGTTGAGTGCTACATTTTAGATGTGATTGTGAAAAGGTGCTTGAAGCAGGCAGGATGCAAAGCTCCTACTTTGGGGGGAATCAAAGGTTTAATGCACTCTATAGCCCCGTTGAGCATCAGAGGTTTACCAAAATTCTCTAATGTTTTGGGCAGGAAATTAATGGGAAACAATCTTCAATTTTAGACCATTTGTCCCCGAAAATTGGCAGTGTAATTTGTAAGCCACAGGAGGGGGTCAAGAGAATGACATGTAGCTTATGCACTTGTCATCCCGGGTTTATAAAATGCCACCTATGCATAATAAATGTAATAAAATAATCCAAAGGGCTCTCAGTACTAAAAGATTTTTATGTAAAGGCTAATCATTGTGATTTAGCCTGCCCAGCACCCCCCAGTTGAGAGCAGCTCCCACCCAGAAAATGAACATGTAGATTTGTATATGCAGGAAATTAGACTTTCAAAGAAAAGTCTGCTTCTTAAAATAATTTGTTTCTGATGAGCTGTTTTAGATCAATTTCTCATCTACAGAACACACCGCTGTATGACCCAGGGTTGATCTGAATATTACCAAAATAAGATCTGTCAGGAACATTGCATGCTCAAGTGACTGTAGAAACTAGAAATAGTAACAAGTTGAAAGGGACGCTATTATGGGCACAGCACTATTTAAATCCTAGAAAACATGTCGCTAACAGGGTTGTGTCCAGGTGTTAATCTGATTTGCAAAAACAATCCCTTTTTAGTATGCTTGCAACAGATGAGATCCGCTAGAGGGCAGTCTTTGCTCTAAAATGTCATTTGACCTTAGCATTTCTCTCTCTCCCCCCCCCCCCCCCCCAATTCAAGTACAATTGAATGAAAGTTAGGCTGGAGGATTTCTTCTCCAAAAGACAGCTCTATCCTTAGAATTTCAGATCTGCTGGAGCAACATTCACAAGCTGTTTTACATGCTGTTTATCTTGCGGAGATGGCCTTTTTATCTCCTAAAGCGCTGTGTCAGCCTTCCGATTCTGCCTGACGTGTGTGGGCTGTCAGCCCTGAGCTACTCTAGGTTGAGAAGAGGGCCAAATATTTTGCACCCCGTGGGATACAGGCCTGTGTTCACCCTGAACACCTGGACGAGATTACAGACTTACCCAAGGAATAAGAAGCAAAGGATCAGATCTCTTTTGCTGTGTCCTTTACCCTCTTACTCCCTACTGCCGTTGCTCCCTGACGGAGGGAAGAGAGAAAGCATTAAGAATATTAAGGCAGAAATCGTGTGGAGAAATAACGTGCAGTTACAACTGTTACTTAGGCTCAGGTATTGTGGGGAGACTTGGAAACGACGGCAAGAGCTACTTGGGGAAATGGGTTTTGAAAAAAGGACAATGAAGGTATTTGAATTACAGTTTCAAGAGTGAAGGATGTCTGGATTCCCAATCATCCAGGTCACGGTGGTGCCAGAGGTGGTTTTTCCAAAAGACAGCTGGACTTTCTTGATTTTTTTTCCTTTGACAACGTTTTGCTTCTCCTCCAAGAAGCTTTTTTCAGTTCAGAACTGAAGAAGCTTCTTGGCTGAGAAGCGAAACATTTCAAAGGAAAAACAAGAAAAGTCCAGTTGCCCTTTAGAAAAAGCACCTTTGGGACCAGAGCAAAGGGATAGAAGCAAAGATGGGAGCAGCGAAGAGCCGTGGTGGGTACAGTGGTTAGAATGCAGTTGTTGCAGGCCAAATCTGCCCACTGCCGGCAGTTCGATCCTGACAACCTCAAAGTTGACTCAGCCTTCCATCCGGTAAAATGAGGACCCAGATTGTTGGGGGGAATATACTGACTCTGCAAACCGTTTGGAGAGGGCTGTAAAGCACTGTGAAGCAGTATATAAGTCTAAGTGCTATTGCTATTTGTAAACTCTGGAGAGCTTTGGGGAGAGGAGATGACGGCATTTTGGAGACCCAAAGGAGGTTCCTTTCAGCCACTTTTCGGCAGTAAGTCATTTCTGCCTATCTGGGAGTGTAGACGGGGTTCACGGAAGCTCTTTCTCCTTTGGAATTTGCCCCAGAAAAAGCTAGTCTGATTTCTTGGTTTTATTGCAGGAAATTCAAAGCCTTATAATCGGGGGTTTAACTTGTTTCTTATTCCTGGGGAGGGGCCATTTTGGAGATCTAGTATGAAGCATTCGTGCTCCAAAGAGATGGACTTTCTCTCTGTGATAACAGGCCTGCCATTTAATATTTCTTAGAGAGGATTTTTTTTTTCCTAGGGAGAATCAGAATGAAAGCTGTTCTAAATAGAAACCTGGATTAAGCACTCAGTTTTGATTCTGTAGCTTTGATTGGCCTCCACGCAGTGTGGCACTGCGGCCCCCAACGTTTCGGACAGCAGGGACCGGTTCTGTGGAGAAAGGGATTTCCATGGACCGGAGAGGACGTGGTTTCACCTGCTGCCCGCGTGCCGCGGATGGGGCTTCCCTTGTTTGCGCGGCCCGGTTGCTGGCATGCCGGTGCCGGTCCACAGACAGATCTACCCCTGGTGTAGCATGTCTGGCCTCCTGGTCATAGCTCTTCCCTTTTCTCCAGAGTCTCGGGATTTCCTGCGACGGATGCAGAAGAAGCTTCAGAAGCACCAGCCCTCTCCAGAGGTGCTTCACCCAAAACGCGTCTGCTCTGCAGCCGTTTCCGGCCAGCAGTGGGTAACGGGCCTTGGCAGGCGCCCCCGCAAGAAATCCAAGAAGGGAGATCCTGCTCCCCCAGCCGAGACCCTGGGAAGAGGGGAAGCCTCCTGTGAACGGAGCGAATCCAAGTCTCCCTTGGAAGAGGACGAGGACATCTTCCCTCCAGACTGGTCACCTCCATCGTTTCTGTTCAAGGAAGAGCCGCCGCCTCCTCCCAGCCCTGGGCCTGGACCGCTGTCCGAGCCCGGAAGCTCTCAGGAAACGCCGGACGGCCCTGAAGGGCTTGGTGGGTCTCCAAGGATGGAGGTCAAGCTCTCTCCCCAATTGGGGACCCTTTACAGGTAGTCCTCGACTTACGACAACTCACTTAGCGACCGTTCAGAGTTAACGGTGGCACTGAGGAAAGTGACTGACGGCCATTTTCCACACTCTTGGCTGTTGCGGCATCCCCACGGTCACGTGATCAAAATTCAGACGCTCGGCAACTGACTCGTATTTACGACGGTTGCAGCGTCCCGGGGGATCGCGTGATCCCCTTTTGCGACCGTCTGACAAGCCAAGTCAATGGGGGGGAAGCCAGATTGGCTTAACAGCCGTGCTACCAGCTTACCAGCTGCAGTGATTCCCTTCACAACTGTGGCAAGAGAGGTCGTAAAATGGGGCTACACCCACTGAACAAACGTGTCTCCCTGAACCCCAGAAATTTTAGGCCCAGTTGTGGACGTAAGTCGAGGACTACCTGTTTTTCCCTCAAAGCCATGTAGCTGGAGGGGAGGGGCCGTTTGGGGGATCCAGAAGGAGGCGTTTCCTCTCACCCTCCCAGGAGAGACCGACTTTCGGTCAGGCGTGTGGGCCAAACGCGTCTAATATTTCCTAGGGCTGGTTTTGTTTCTGTTTTGTTTTGGGCAGACTCAGAAGGAAAGCCGTGCGACTTAGAAACCCGGACTGAGTCCTTGGTTCCGCCTCCTGTAGCTCTGATTAGGGCCTGGCCGCCTGGTCACCATTCTTTCCTTTTCCCAGAGTCCACAAAGGAACTGGAGCAGGAAGACGCTGCCCCTCCAGCCGACGCCCTGGGAAGAGACGAGGGCTGCCGTGGACGGAGCAGCCCCAGGTCTCCCCTGAAGGAGGACGCGGGGATGTTCCTTCCGGACTGGCCGCTGAGGCAAATTGCATTTCTGTACAATGACGAGTCGCCTCCCCTCAGCCCCGTCCCTGGGCCCTCGGAACCCCGAAGCTCCCAGGAAGCGGCAGACGTCACGGAAGAGGCTGGTGGGTCTCCAAGGGTGGAAGGTCCCTCTTCGTCCGCCCCGCTGCATCTACTGCTGCCCCCCTCTGGGAATTCCTCCAGGAGCAGCCCCTCGGCCTCCTCTGAGGAGGTTTTAGGAGATCCTGGGGGATTCATGGTGGACTCGGATGAGGAGGAGGAAGATATGGACGACAGCAGCCTTGTGCCCCTCAGAGACCTCCTCCACATGGAGGAGTCCAGCTCCAGCAGTGTGGACATGAGCATGGTGGGTACCCCGTGAGCTGGTGTTGAACCTCCTTCAACTTGGCTGGGGGATTCTGGGAGTTGAAGTCCACGCATCTTCAAACAGCCATGGTGGAGTAACCCCTGCTCCTCAGAGGGTCCTAGCGTATGGAGGAGCTTATTTCCAGGGCAGCCTCTGTTGCCATCTGCAGGCTTTTTCTGAACGAGCCAGCGATCTCCTTGAGACGCCATGATATCTGGGCCTTCATGAGAGAGAGAGAGACAAGGGTTCTCACATCACCGCCACGCATCGTGTGCAGACTTCATGGCTGTGTGCAGGGGCATTGCTAGGGCTAGCAGTGTGGGGGGGGGAACTGCTTGAGCCTTGGCAATAAGCCAGGTGATGAGTGGAACTCTTTGATTATTGAGTCCCAGGTTTGGGGGCGCCTCCCTGTAATCTCTCTCCCCCTTGCTTCTGCTTTTAGTGCCCATCGCCAAGACCGGAGAGTTACCTGAACAGCCTGGACAAGCTTCTTGAAGAGAAAAGGTAAAACTGAACTTTTCATTTGCATACCTGAGGATGGGGACACAGCGTAAGGAGAGGCCACTTCCTCATTTCCTGAAGGGGGAAAAATCGACCTAAGGAAGCAGGAGGAGGAACGTTGGGGGTCCTCCATCCTGGGAGGTTTTCAAGAAGAGATTGGACAACCGTCTGTCCAGCATGTCTTCTGCCTGAGCAGGGGGTTGGACTAGAAGACCTCCGAGGTCCCGTCCAGCTCTGTGACTCTGTTGTTTATTCTGTTAAATGGGGGAGAAATGTGTCATTTTTCAAAACCCACAATGGGGGGAAATGTATCTCTGTGGCAGTTGGGCAGGTCTCGAGAACTCAAGGCATCTTCCAGAAGTGTGGGTTCAATGCCCAGAATTCTTAGCAGGGAACTTGCTGGCTGGGGGATCCTGGGAGTTGAAGTCCATACCTCTGGAAATTGCCTTACTGGAAAATACTGTGATAAAGCCTACAACTGTTTGTAGTATACTAGTTAAGTACGAATAGAATAGAATGGAATGGAATAGGGAATGGAATGGAATGGAATAGGGAATGGAATGGAATGGAATAGAAATAGAAATAATAGAATAGAATAGGAGTAGAGTAGAGTAGAAAATAGGAATAGAAATAGGAATAGAATAGGAATAGAGTAGAGTAGAGTAGAATAGAGAATAGAATACAGAAAAGAATATAGAATAGGAATAGAATAGAGTGGAATAGAATAAGAATGAGATTGAATAGAATAGGAATAGAATAGAATAGAATAGAGAAAATATGGAATGGAATAGAAGAAGAGAAGAGAAAATATGGAATGGAATGGAATGGAATAACAGAGTTGGAAGAGACCTTGGGGGTCTTCTAGTTCAGCCCCCCTGCTTAAGGAGCCCTATTCCTAGAAAGTTACAAGGTGTGGCTACAATAAGATGAGTTTGATTGACTTCTCCCAAAAAGATTGGAGTTAGTACCTGGATAGACTGGAAAATCCAAAACACATCCTGGAGAAGCAGTGGAAAATCCCAAAATCACTCATTCTTGCTTTACTTTTCCTGACTTTCTTCCCATCTCTCTTCCCTGTCGTCCTTCCTCTTCATCCTCAGCAACATCTCTTGAGCTGAAAGGAACCTAATTTGTGTCCCTGCTCTTTGTGAGTCAAGAATCCCTCTCGTTTCTTCTTGCTACAAAGCCATAAATTCATTTGGGATGAATTTATGGAAACACTGGAATGGAGTAGGTTAAGCTGCTTACTAAACAGGATTAAGTTTCCACTTTGGTTGTGTGCAATTGTCACTGGTGCGACATGATATTTATGGTGATTGAGGATGAATTGCCCTTTTATTGCTACTGAACAGTAAGCAGTTTGGTTGTGTCATTACTGGGAATGTTTTAATTGTGGCTCAGTCATTGGGGGGGGGGTTGCTTTTAACTGTTTTTGTGGTTGATTTGTTGTGGGTTTGGCTAAGGCGCCACAAGTCTGCATGAGGCAGTGGTATTTAAATCCATTAATAAATACAATATTTCTCACCAGACAGAACTCTGGGGCATCCATTTTGATCTCAGCATATGTTTATGGCACCGGGTTGGGAGGATGTCAATACAAGTAGTCCTTGAAGTGACTTATCACGGATCCTCACATTTACGACCAGGGCAACATCGCTGTGGTCACATGATCAAAATTCAGGAGCCTGGCAACCAGCATTTACTTACGACAGTTGCAGTGTCTCAGGGGGGTCATGTGATGGCCATTTGCAAGCTAGGTTTTCCAGTTTAAATTGTGGTTTGTAACTCCTCAGTATCAGGCATTGGAAGTTTTATAGCGAGCCTAAAGCAGGGGTCTTCAAACTTGGCCCTTTTATGACTTGTGGACTCCAACTCCCAGAATTCCTCAGTGTGCCTGGCTGAGGAATTCTGGGAGTTGAAGTCCACAAGTCATAAAAGGGCCAAGTTTGAAGACCCTGGTCTAGAAGACCTCCAGTTTGAATCAGCAAGTTTGCCCAAGTCTCTACCCCACAGTCACTCATCAGTTTGGCCTGAGAGGGTTTGAAGTCTTGAAGTCAATCATCCTTCTGCTGATTGGGTTTATCCACCACGCAATACATCGACACAGCAGGCAGGATCCAGGTTGGCCCAGGAGCATCAGAGGAACAACTCGGTGTAAAGGATTGTGCAATGGAAGCTGTTAAGAGAAGGATCTTTACCTGAGCCAGTGGAGCGTGCTGGGCAAATGCATCCCACGTGTGTTGGGCCCAGCTTAATGATTTGTAAGAATCAAGTCAATAGTATGGCTTATTTAACCGATCAGGGTGAAATGGGACTTGAATAAACCACAGCTTACTGTCCTAGGTGAACCCAGCCAGCACCATACTTGACTCCCCAATTTTAAATGACCTGTTGAAGGTTGGGCTGGACCTCTCTTGTAACAGATGGTTTTCAACCTGATAAAGGTGCTGCAGGCTCATCTGTTACGAATAAAACAAATCTCCTTGCAATTTCACAGCATCGCAAGCAGTTATAGAAGGCTTTGCCTTAATTATTCCAGGAAATCAGTAGCTTTCCCAGTACTTCCGATGGGGAATAGTCCAATTGCTAACCTTCTTGTAACCCTAGCTCTTCTTGACTCTGCAAGCTGTTGGCCAGTGCAATAGGCTGTTTCCGGAGGGGTCTTCCTAGGAAGGCTGAATGATCATTTGTCAAGCAGATCTAGTGGATTCTGCATTAATCTGGGGGGGGGGTCAGACTAAAGGACCAATATGGTGCTATATGTAGTTGAGCCTGAGTTCGGTCTGGGACAGGGGTAGGCAACCTTGGCTCTTTTATGACTCAGTGGACTTCAACTCCCAGAATTCCTGAGCCAGCCATGCTGAGGGGAAAGGGAGAGGTTTCCAAGCCGAGCCATGCTGGCTCAGGAATTCTGGGAGTTGAAGTCCACGAGTCATAAAAGAGCCAAGGTGGCCTACCCCTGGTCTGGGAAAAGGAGGTCTTTCAGTTTGGGTTAGCTGCCCGATTACTGGCCCCTGTTCCTTTTCCCTCCTGGTTCCGATAAACCCATCAAAAGAACTTCAAGGCAAGAATTCTTCCTCAAGGAGCATTTTATTCAGGAAACAAAGTATGGGCTCTACATAGCTGAACCCAAAACTAGATTCCCTTCCCCCAGGTACAAAGTCGCAAAGTGCAATTCCCAACCCCACGAAAGCAGTCATTAATCACATTCTCCAATTAGCACGAAGCGCAGGCTCTCTCCCCAGCTCCTCAGCCCGCCAAAACGTTATCAGTTTGTGTCCTTGAGTTCCCACAGAGCAGCCTTATTATGGCTAGCTGAGCTCATGCATTCACCCCAACCCCCCTTCTACACCTGATTTCTAAATAGGCGAAAGAGCGTGTTAAAAGCAAAACAAAAATGGATGCAATTTCCATCAGTTGTCAGAGCAGGAACATCCTGTGCTCAGCCCCGTTTCATCCTGTCCCCCTCTGGTGGCTTTGTCCTTTTTAGAGAGCAGATACGAGAGGACAGAGAGCTGGAAAGAAGCCTGGGCAGCAAGCTGCTCTTCTCGAAGTGGTCCACTGCTGGGGAGTCCAGCGAAGAAAACGATGCTTCATTGCTTGATACTCAGAGGTAGGTGTATAAGAGCGCTCTGCAGCTGCCCAGAGAGGGCCAGGAGGGAATGAGTGGACTGGAAGACCTCAGAGGTCCAAGACTTGGGGTTCTCTTCCTCTTCAGCTCCTCTGTAGGACTCCCTCTCCTCTCTGTGCAATTTTGGTTGAGGCAAGGTCTCCGTCAACATTTGAAGAGGCTCTGGGGGGGGGGTGTCCCCCTAGAAAGTTGTAAAAGAATGGTGACTTTGGCTTAACTTTTCAACTGTTTTTAACATGTGCGGTGCTGTAACAGTTTGCATCTCAGCAGATTCCAGATTTCAAACAAGGGGAAGGTTTGATGAGCAAAAAGGCTGTTCTCTCATGTTTCTTCTCGAGTGTGCCTGCTCCCATATCTCTGGTAGAGAAGAAAGTGGCATCAGTGTGACATTTATGGTCAGAGCCCGAGGCTACAGGTTGCATCCCTGTGACATGTAAAACTCAGAGGCTAACTACCAACAGTGAAGTCATACGTCCCCATTTGATGGGTATTAAACATTGCCATCTGATTGTCCTTAGAAGTATCTGTTTTCTGTTGAAGGCCCTGCCCCTGGAAGGCTCCCCCCCCCAGATCTAATAGCTCCCCCCACCCCAGGCCCAGCCTCCAGGAAAAATTCATTTGCTGAACTGGGTTCCCTTTATCTGGTTTAGATCAACAAGAAGGCTTCACAAACTTTTAAACAACATTGTAGCTCTCGGCTCTCCCTCAAAAGACGAATCCCTTGCTCACCAGCTGCATTCATACTTTTATGACATTCTGTGCAAGAGCACAACTAGTTAAAGAGCATTAGTTTAAAAAAAAATGGGCCTAAGAAGAGGGCTGGAGTTGCAGGAAGTTAGTAAAAGAGAATGACTCCCTCCCTGCTTATTCTCCTTCAGTAGCCATTAAATTAATCCCCCGTCAGATCCAGATGTTTATTTTTATTGGCTGGACAGCTGGCCAACTGGTGTGTACACGTGGAGAGGCGGCATCTTAAACCCCGGACAGGAGCTGAGTGACAGGAAGGAAACGTGTGAGAAAAAGTGTCGGAGGCTGCTCAGGGCTGGATCGGGGCTGTGCCCCATCAACACCCCTTTAACTCCAAGGTGTATTTTCATGCAGAATTGACCCGGAGCTTTGTCACCAGCTTCTCCCGTGCAAAGTTGGGTGGTTGCTAAGCTACCCCTTTTACTGAAAAAGATGGGGAGATAATTCCAGAGCCCTCGAGAAGCACTTACAGGTAGTCCTCGACTTACAACAGTTCATTTAGTGACCGTCCCAAGTTACAGCCCCACTGAAAAAAAGTGACTTTTTCACACTTAACGACCGTTGCAGCATCCTCAATGGTCACGTGATCAGAGTTCAAACGCTTGACAACTGGCTCCTCTTTATGATGGCTGCCGCTTCACGGGGGTCACGTGGTCCCCGTGTTGCACCCCACTGACAAGCAGTCAATGGGGAAACAATATTCACTTAACTACCGTGTTACGTCATTTAACAGCTGCAGGGGTTCACTTAACAACTGCCTTAGCGACAAAACTTTGGGGCTCAACTGTGGTCGTACGTGGAGGACCACCTGTACTATATTGCTTAGTGCGTTTTACCCAAAAGTCCTTCGCTTTGTCAGAGCTGTCCATAAGAGACATGAAGGTCTGAAATACACAGAATGATATTATGAATGCCTGTGCGGTACCCGGAAGGCTGCTATTTCATCCTGTCTTGACTGTTCCTGCCTGTTCCCCCCCCCCTCTCTCCTGCTCCTTTGGATGGTAACAGGATTTTTATTAAGTTCCACATTTCCTGGGCTTCAGGCAAGAAAGTCCAATTCACTTTCTCTCTCATTATTTCTGGAGCTCAGCTGTTCCTTGGAAAGGGGGCTCAGAAACCCACAGCAGTTGCTTCTGATTGGAAGTGCCGATAAAGCTGGGTAGAATGAATAAGGAAAATAAATTGTACAGGAGGCTTAGAGGTTCAGGTGGGAATTGGCTGGGTGGCAGCTGGTCAGTAAATTCTATAGGGAATGCGAGAAGAAGAGGCCTTGACAAGAACTGAGCCTTTTTTATTTTTAATAAAGTCACTTTTTATATTAAAGCATGACCAATCGTGCCATTTGGCAATTAAACCTTTCTTCTTGCTTTCATTTGTCCCTTCCTTCCTTCCTTCCTTCCTTCCTTCCTTCCTCCCTCCCTCCCTCCCTCCCCTTTTTCCTTCCTTCCTTCCTCCCTCCCTCCCTCCTCCCCCTTTTCCTTCCTTCCTTCCTTCCTTCCTTCCTTCCTTCCTTCCTTCCTTCCTTCCTTCCTTCCTTCCTTCCTTCCTTCCTTCCTTCCTTCCTCTTTTTCTTTCCTTCCTTCCTTCCTTTCTTCCTCCCTCTCTCTCCCTGCCACCCTTTGAGCCATTTCTGAAAACCTTTTTTTAAATATTTTTTCAGGTTGGTCCTGGAGCAATTCTCCATCAGTGCTGGTTCCATCCCAACTGTACACCCTGGTGAACATATTTTCAGGCCTCCTCCTTACCCGAGGTCTGCTTTCGTACTTGACACCGCTGGGCTTGCGCCGCAGAACCGTCTGGAAAGCTTGCTCTTCAGGTGAGTTTCCCCAGTGAAGTCGGTGGGGAAAGGGCAAGTAGACCTAGACCCGTGCCGGAGGAATTAGTTGCCCTTTGAATGCAGGCTTCCTATGTTGGAACCGACGCATGAACCGGTCCCCAGCTGTCCTTCCAAATTCAGGCTTCTGCAAACTTTGCAGTACGGCTTGACTCCTGAAAAAAAGAAATGCACCAGGGAAACGCTTTTCTGCCTATATTCAGGAAAATAAATTACATGTTACGAGAAACTGGGTTTATGCTTGGCCAAATTGCAAAGAAAGAGGACTGCGTTTGCAGAGAGGTCCATCCCAAATCCCTCCTATTCCAATTTTAGTCCATTGTTTCTTTTTAGCAATCTCAAACTAATACTGTGTTGATAAATGAAAAAACCAGAGAATCCCAACGGATAAATTTTGAGAAATGGAAAGCTGAGAGGACATCAACTCTTCTGTTTCTTCCTCTCTCATCTAAGCAAGGGCTTCTCTTAACTGAGTCTCACCCTTATAAAAAAAGCTTCCTTAAACATTAGAAAGAAAATTTCCTCACAAGGTTTTTCCTTCAACACGTTAGCTTCAATATAAGCATATTTCCTTCTCTAAATGAGTGGGATTAATCCCCTGCCTCCCAAGCTGATTGAGCTCAAGAAGATAATATGGAGTCTAAAACTCATGAGTTCGTCTTTAAGCCGCCTGCTGCTGGGCTCCCTCAAGAGTTTAAGAACCACATGCACTTCGGCAAGGAGTTTTAGTGCTGTTGAAGGAAAAGTCTTCATCATGGTACAGTCCAAGCTGGGACTAAACAACATAGCGACTGCTTTAGAAAAGAAGGTTGCAGTTTATTGAAGAGGAGAGCCAGACAGAAAGATAGTTCTGGAAAAAAAAAAGAGTGAGCACATGTAGGGAGTGGGTTTTTATACCCTCTGGAGCCTTTTGTTTGGAGTTGTTCCTGTGGCATGAATTTTGACCTGAGTCTGAGTATGCCTTTCTGGTATTCTGATGGTGGTGGGTTAATCCTATTATGTCCCAAAGGTCATATCCTGCTTCCCTGGGGCTGGGGCTGATGACTCTTAGATTTTTGGTGTTGGTTCTAGGGATCTTTCTTCCTAATCCTAGTGTCCTGACTCCAGTCTTTCTGACAAGATTATCACCTGCATTTTGCAAACTTGGTTTCTGTTTGGGACAGAGAGACTTGGGGAGGGAGGGGTTGGTTTCTGCCTTTAAAATCCTTTAGGGAAATATATTCTGCCTTTTAAATATTTCCAGGAATATTTCTTTCTCTGTGGGGTGGGGGCTGACTTTCCACAGTGCAATGTTTAGGAACAGGGAGCAGAATCTTGGAAGCTGCTGTGGGGCCTTTCAGTTCTCATGTATTAATGAGTGCATCAAGACATCAATGAGTGCATCAATACTTGAAAAGTATTCGGAGACTACAGTTGGTCCAGAATGCAGCCGCGCGAGTGATAGTGGGTGCTCCTCGATACACCCACATTATATCTATCCTCCGTGAGCTGCACTGGTTGCCTATTGGTCTCCGGGTCCAATTCAAGGTGTTGGTTATTACCTTTAAAGCCCTATATGGCTCAGGGCCAGGCTATTTGCGTGACCGCCTACTACCTCATAGTTCCCTACGTCTGGTTAGATCCCACAGGCTGGGCCTCCTTCAGGTCCCGTCGGCCAAGCAGTGCCATTTGGCGGGGCCGCGGGGGAGGGCTTTCTCTGTGATGGCGCCCACGTCTTGGAACCAGCTCCCCCCGGAGATTAGGACCGCTCCCACCCTGTTGGTTTTCCGTAAGTTGCTTAAGACCTGGCTTTTCCGGCAGGCCTGGGGTTTATAAAATCTGACCCCTGGATAACTGTTCTTGTACTATTTGTTTTGTTATGTTTTATGTGTTTTTATTGTTAGCCGCCCAGAGTCCTCCGGGAGTGGGGCGGCTTATAAATTTTAAAAATAAAATAAATAAATAAATAAAATAAGACAGAGCCCGTAAACACTTTGAATATCTTCTCCACCTGGACTGAACCAAAATTTCATAAATAGGCCACCAATCAACTCTTCTCCCATCTGCTTGACCTGCTTGAATTTTAGATGTTCTTCATCTAGAACTAGGTATTTCTGGTTTAACAAACAGAAGGACTTAGTGGGGACACGATAGCTGTCTTCCAGTACTTGATGGGCCGTCATAGAGGAGGTTGATCTATTTTCCAAAGCACCTGAAGGGCAGAAAAGAAACAACGGGTGGAAGTTTGTTAAAGACAAACCCAACCTGGAACGCAAGAGAAATTTTTCTGACAATGGGAACAATCCATGGAACAGCTTGCTTCCCCGGAGTTGTGGGTGCTCCATTCCCGGAGGTTTTCAAGACAAGATTGGGCAACCATCTGATCAGGATGGGATAAGGACTCCTCTCCTGCCTTGAGCAAGGGGTTGGACTTTAAGATCTCTGAAGGTCCCTTCCAGCCCTGTATTATGTTCTATGTTGTAAATATCTGAGATTTTAGCACTACAGTGGTGGAAATAGATTCAGAAGCAGCTCAGTCACAGGGAGCTTTGAGTCGAGCCTAGAATCTCCTTGGTGGAAAGCTTTGTCTGCCGAAGCGCTCTGCTTCTCGTTAATCATCCCTCTGAGTCCTTGATACCTGCTATCTCTGCTGAACCAGGCCCTGCTCCCAGCGTCTCCGCAAAGCGTTAATTAACTCCCTCCAGTGAATGACTTGAATGCGGTGAACCTCACCAATCATTTCAGCTCATTGCTTTCTCCGTCCCTGGAAATGGGAGACCTGCAGGCATCTGGATAATTGCTTGAAAAACAGCTTTGCTTCCCCTCCCCTCCCTCCCCCCTCCCTTTATGCTCCCTGCCAGTGAAGGAGGAATAATCAGGGGTGGCCTTTGTTTCGCTGGAAGGGCAGCAAGGCCCAGGTCCCCAGGTGCGCTTTGGTGAGGCACGCTGATGAATTTTCCCTGGATGAGATGCGAAGGTGGGAAGCCTGTTCGTGCTTTTGGGGTTCAAAGAAATGCATTTCCAGTTTCCTAACTTGGCCCATCCTTTTTGTCTCCAGCAGAGAAATTAAATTATCATAGTTCGGTTTCGTCTAGGGCAGAGTGTCTCCAACCTCGGCAACTTTAAGATGGATGAACTTCAACAGTTGTGTGGAGTTGAAGTCCACCCATGTTAAAGGTGCTGAGGGTGAGAAAACGTGGTCCAGGTGACCAGACATTATAATTTGGAAAAAAAAAAAAAACCACAAAGAAAGAGGAAAATGCTGGAAGGCCTTTTTATTTTTTATTTTTATTTTATTATTTTATTTTATTTTATTTTAAACTCACTTAACAAATGTCTAACGTAGCAACAGAAATTTTGGGCTCAGTTGTGGTGGTGGTAGTAGTAGTAGTAGTAGTAATAATAATAGTAAAGTTGGAAGGGACCTTGGAGGTCATTTAGTCCAACCCCCTGCTCAGGCAGGAAACCCTATACCATTTTGGACAAATGGCCGTCCAGTCTCTTCTTAAAAACTTTCAGTGTTGGAGCATCCACCGCTTCTGGAGGCAGGTTGTTCCACTGGTTAATTGTTCTAACTGTCAGGAAGTTTCTCCTTAGTTCCAGGTTGCTTCTCTCCTGGATTAGTTTCCATCCGTTGCTTCTTGTCCTACCTTCAGGAGCTTTGGAAAATAGCTTGACTCCCTCTTCTTTGGGGCAGCCCTTGAGATAGTGGAAGACTGCTATCCTGTGCCCCCTCGTCCTTCTCTTCGTTAAACTAGGCATACCCAATTCCAGTAGCCGTTCCTTATATGCTTAGGCTATAGGCGAGGACTACCTGTATTTTCATTTTTAGGTTGGCATACTTCCCTGTTTCCTCACACTCAGAAAGCAGTCATAACTCCAGGCAAGGAAAGGCTTGAGAGGGCCTCTTTCTCTCTAACAATCTCCCTATTGCAACTGAACAGAGTGTGCCTTGCTGTGGGCTGAGAGCCACGTCAACCCCTGAATGTCACTCCGGACGCACATGACACTTGCGCGGCTGACTTGGTCACTTGCAGGCCGACGGGTCATCAGAAGCTTCCAACTTCTTTTGCTGATGGTTGCTTCTCTCTCGTTTTGGCCCGGTGCTGATTTGCACAGAAATGAGTGGGCGCCCACCAGGCAGCCTTGTGAATATTCTAGCAGGCTAGTAAAAGTAGGTTATCTGTCATGCACAGCATTCCTGTGATAAATGGCGCTAACGTGCCAAGTCTCCGGCGGTGAATGCCCTTCCGCTCTGCCAATAAGCCAGCCTCGTCGCTCAGATCCAAGGGAGCGGGGTGGGGGAGAAGAGGGAGATCGGCGTTTGTATCAGGCTCTGATATTAATAAGCCCACTTTGCAGAACGGGGATGCTTCTCCGGCAGATGGAGGCAAGACGGATTCATGTTCGGAATTGGAGAGAACTGACAGGCGCTAACGTTGTTACGGGAGATGCTGATTATTTTCTGATGCGCCGTGCAAACTGGGACATCATAGCTCCTTCCGATTGGGCTCCCATCTGTCACAAAGGCACAGAGATGGATGTAGGTGTCTCTCGGTCTTGGCTGTCCTTTATTAGGTGGGGATTAATAGCAGCTGAGAAGGCCTGTTCTAGTTCCTGTGTTGATGTGCACCGCTGATTGTTGAAGCAACGGGAAGGATGGAGAAACAAACCTAGAACTAAGCAACCTAGAACCAAGGATGAATTTCCTGACAGTGGAGAAGAATTAACCAATGGAATAGCTTTGCCTTCAGAAGTTGTGGGTGCTCCATCGCTGGAGGCTTTTAAGAAGAGACTGGATAGCCATTTGTCTGAAATGGGATAGGATCTCCTGCTTGAGCAGGGGGTTGGACTAGAAGACTTCCAAGGTCCCTTCCAATTCTGTTATGTTGTTTTTAGCTGTGGAACAGTCCTGGCCACTTAGGCTGATCCTGGATATCTAGTGAGAAGATAGTCCTTTACCAGATACCGTCTAGCTCATTTTTTAAATATATTTTTCAAAACCATTATCACAAACCCCTCTGGATTTCCTGCATTTAAAGCTCTTGAGAAGGACTGGGGATAAATGTAACACCTGCGAAGCACTTGGGTGCTCTCACAATATATTCATAACCCTTTAAAAAGAGCATTTAAACCCAGAGCTGCTTTGCTACCCAACAGCTTGCAAGAGAAAATGGCTGGTATTGGCAAGGGTTCTCCAACATAGTAGGTCAAAGAGAGCCTTTGGGGAGACCCCGGCGTTACCCATTTAAGCTCTGTCCTCTGCCCTCAGCTTTTTGTCCCCCTGCCCCGGGTTTAATATTTCCATTTTCGACTCTTCTTGCATAGAATTGGCCTCTGGCGGCTGATCAAGACAGCTCCATTGAGACTCGTCCTGACCTGGCCTAAATTTAAATGACCTCTGTTATCTAACAAAGGTCCTTTGGTTTCAAGTGATCCTAGACAAGTTTCCGCTACAGCTCTCCGGATCCAAAGCCCTGTTGCCCGAGGGCTGCAATTGAGCTGGCAGAGATGAAAATGGAGTTCTGGTTTATGTGAAGGGCAGGGTGAACAGCAGTAGCAGCTCTGGACAAGACATTCAGTTAGTGAAAACCTCCCAACTGGGCACAAATAGACCTCTGTCTGGAAAGACCAGAATTCCCCTTAGCAATGGGGCAGCCGTTGCCCTCTACGCATCTGATAACCCAGCAGACCGGGTGCTCTTACAGCAACAGTTTAAAGGCTAGTTGAATATGCTTTCTCCCAGTTGGGTGCTATTTATGTTTCAGGGCCGATGTGAATTCTATGTTTTCTTATTTTAATACATCCACACTGATAAAACCGTATTTAAAGAAAAAAAAATAATGGAAGCTGAAAGAAAAATGAGAAAAAGAAGCAACCCTTAACAAACACAAGCCAAGAAAAACAGTCTCTGGCATTTTATATTTCTCCATAGTTTCTTGTTCAGTAATATACTACTGTGATTTAAGCAGCACAAAATGTTATTATAGAACATCCCGACAGTTCTGCCACAGTAACCCGTATTGCTGCGTCCTTTGATTAGTAGAAAATGCTGCCTTTTCCAAAACATCACCTATATCCAACAATCATTCCTTAACATTTGGAAGAATACATTCCAGGGTCTCACTGTGATTCTTTTAACCAACGCAACCATTACTCCTGTTAAACAGATTCCAAAGCTTTGGTATATAGTTCATCATCACACCAACTTCTTTAACAGTTAAAATTTTCCCCATAATTCTACTAATTACCTATATATTTAGGGGGTTGCAGGTACCATTACAGAACTGTAAGAGGATTGGGCCAGAAGGTGGTTATTGAAGGAAGTGACCACCTTGGTGGTGATATCTCAGTGGCATGAGGTTCTTCCCAGGAAAATGACTCCTGTGGTTATTTTTTCTGGTCCCACCACAGCCTCAGCCAAACTGGAGGAAAACTGGAGTTTGTAATCCTAGCAGACCCAGAGTACTCTGGAATATTCTAGATTAAGGAAAAAAAAACATTCTCACCTGAGATCTTTTTAACGTCTTTATCTAAGTCACTGCTGCTAATTTTATGTCACTTCCTCTTTTTCTACCTTGTCTGTATATTTTTGTTGGATTTCATTCCTTAAGATAAAGGCTTTTAAAATCTGGATAAGCCATCTTGGGAAATACAGCTCATTCACACAATTTCTCAACCCTGCTTTTATTTTAAAGAGAGAGAGAGAGAGGAGATGAAACATGCCCAGAACAATTTCTTGATGAGCAGTGGTTCAGGACTGTGCTTCCCCAGGTTGCATTTAATCCCATTCCGTGCAATCTAAAGAATCTGGAGATCTTCAGGATTCTTGTGCTGTTCTACGTATCTCACGCTGACCGCTTAGCTTTGCAAATTGCTTTCCATTGTGCATTCAAATGGATTGCGTTGTCTTGTAGTGGGAGTGTGTAACCTTTGACCTCAGGGTTGCTTGTGTCCCCACCCCCCAACAAACCTTGAATGAGGCTCTTAGAAACCCCTCCTTCCTCCCCCCCCAGGTTGTCATCAAATTTCAATTCATAGAGTGTCAGAGGGGGAATGATTAAATTCACAAGGAGTCATATTCCCCACATTTTCTTATTGATGTGAACTCAGCTTTAGCTTTTGCCCTCCCATTTCCCCCTTGGAACGTGCCCCCTCGCGTGGCCTCGGAGAACAAGGGCGTGCTTTGTCACCAGAAGTGATGACGCCCCGCTGGGTTAGAGGCCTTTCCCAAGGACTTAACGTTTTGTGCTCCGTTTGACCTTCTTGATGCCGGAACAAACTTCCTGCAGTTATTTCAAGCAGTCTCCCCATTTGAACAGCCCTTCTGAGTTTTCCCCAGATCTGGATTCCGATCCTGCTTGTATTGGCTGCTAGTGTTGACCTTGGCTCCTTCTTCAGGCTGCACTCCACCCTTTGAAGGGATCAGACGAAAGTTCTAGCCCTTGATCACAGTTAATGTCTTTACTCTGTGCAGCTTCATGAGTTGCATGAACCCATCCTTTCTGGTCAGTCGTGAATCCGTGGAACCTGAGAACGTGTTCTTCTGGTAATTAGTTCAAGCACTGTTGTCTGAATGTAGCCAGGATGTTTTGGCGGTGGTTGTTGAGCTTGTAGACATCAGGCACCTCTGTTAAGGTTCGTCTTCCTCCAAGACAGACTAAAGGTGGGCCCCTCTCACCTCTGACTCTGGGCTCAGGCTTGATTTGTTTCATGCCAGTTTTCTGACCAAGCCATAACTGGTTGGACTCACCCAGTTCTAGGACTAAAGGAGCCACATTGTGAATGGTTCATGCGTTGGGCTAAACTGGGATTGGTTTGTTAGTACTTTACTAGGTGAAATGCGGACGGGCTCAGCTGCCACGATAAGAGCAACTCAAGCAGACCTTACAGGTAGTCCTCGACTTACCACCGTTCATCTAGCGACTGTTCAAAGTTTCAGCGGCACCAGTGGTGGGATTCAAATACCTGAACATCTGGTTCTCTGCGTGGATGCAGGCCTGGGCCCCCGAGGCCTAGAACGGACTTCCAGAAGTGACATCCATGCACTTCCGGTGGGCCGTTCTAGGCCTGGGAGACCTCCTCCAGGCCTCCGAGGCCTAGAACGGACTTCCAGAAGCAACATGGGTTCAGCCAGTTCTCCGAACTCAATAAAATCTACTGAACCAGTGCGAACCAGCTGAATCCACCACTGAACGGCACTGAAAACAAGTCTCTTACGACCAATCCTTCAGTTACGACCGTCACAGTATCCCCATGGTCATATGAGTGAAATTTAGGTACTTGGCAACCAGCATATGCCCTATTTACGACTGTTCCAATGGCCTGGGTTCATGTGATCCCCATTTGCAACCTTCTCAGCCAGTTTATAACAATGGAGGGGGCTGGATTTGCTTAATGACCACATGATTCACTTAACAACTGCAGTAACTCAGCAACCATGCACAACATGGTCATACAATTGGGCACAGCTCAACAACAATCACCACCTTGCCTAGCAATGGAGATTCTGGTTCCACTTGTGGTTGTAAGTCGAGGTCTACCTGTATAGGGTCATACCTGTACCTGTGCCTGCCTGGGTCTGAAGTCAAGACCTCTTTGCCTTTCTCCATCTAGCTCCAGCTCCAGCACCTCTCAGCAGTTGGCGATCCTGCACAGTGGCAGCCTTGGGTTCATCTATCACGGAATAGCCAAGTGCCCCCTCCCTGTTCTGCGCTGGCTTTTCCAGGTAAGCAGGCTTGCAAGTCCAGGGCTGGCCACGAGATGGCCCCAGTGGCCAAGACTCACCAGAACCAGCCCTTTTGCTCCGGGTTCTGGCACAGGGCTTAGGACCGTCTAGCACCCAGGGTTCTTAGTAGTTAGCCTGGTTAATCAGCAGGGGGCATGTTCAGCTAATTGGCCGAGTTGTCAGCCTTGTATGGAGCAGATGCTGCAGAAGGCCCCTCGGCTCCAGAGAAGGGTAACGATCTGCGAGCTGGTGAACGGTGTCACTCAGGCAGGACGTTGCAAAAAGGGAGGTTTGCTTCTGCCAATTTAGAGACAGCAAAACTACGGATGTTGCCTTCACCAGGTTAACAAGCAGCCTGGGTAAAATAGGGTCAGAGTTGAAAGAGGCTTAAAAGTGATGAATAACCCATCTCCCCCACGCACACACTTTGCAAGGACTGGTAAACAGGACTTAATTCAGGGAACCGCATGCATTTCTCCCAGGGCACAGCATGATGAGAAAAAACACTGTTTTTTAAAATGACCTTTTGAGAAGAAACGATCATTTCATTGAACTCTTCTGCACGGCAACTCATTCCTCTTCAGGAGAAAGTCAAAACAAGTCAAGATGACACCTATGACGTGAGCCCGGACCTTTTCTTAAATCTCCGCCCGGGATGCTGTACAAGTGGTCCTCAACTTACAACAGTTTGTTTAGTGACCGTTTGAAGTTACAGCAGCACTGGAAAAAGTGGCTTATGAGCGTTTTTCATCCGACCCATTGCAGCATCCCCGTGGTCACGTGATCAGCATTCAGAGGCTTGGCAACCACTGGCTTGGCTTTATGATGGTTGCAATGTCTGGCCAGCTTTGGCGACCATCTGGCAAGCAAAGTCAGTGGGAAACTCCTATTCACTTAACCACTGTGGCAAGAAAAGTCATAAAACGGAGCAAAATTCACTTAACAAATGTCTCCCTTAGCAATAGAAATTGTCGTAAGTTGTGGACTGCCTGTATACCTAAAAAGAGGTGAGACATTGATTGTACAATCACTGCCTGCCTTGACTTTTTTTGACACACACCCCCCCCCCGTGTTCTGCTCCTTGTCTTTCCCCTTGGCCACAGCTGATCCCCTCCCTTCCAGCTTTTTTTGTTCCCTGCAGTAAACTGAGAGAAATCTGAAAAAGAAACCACTGTTTTAAATCTCAGGTGGGGAATTTTGTCAAAGAGAGACGGTGTCTTGTTGCAAAAAAAAAAACCCAAACAAACTATGAATTTCTGCTTCTGGGTTAAAGTTAAGCAAAAACAAAAGCGGGGTTGAACGCTGTCACCGCTTGGAGGAATTGAGAACATTGTGAGGTTGAAGACAACTTTTGCAGGTTTCTTGGCCCTGCCTGGTTAGAAATTTTGCGAAATCTAAGAAGAGGTGGGGGAGGACCTGTTTTTCCAAAATGGTGAGACTGCTTTGTTCAAAAGATAGGCTTTCCACTCAGAAAGGAACTGGGGAAAAACATTGCACAAATGTGACTCTGAAATGAGCTCACACACACGCACAAGCACACACACACACACACACACACACATACCGCCCCCATGTCATAACCCAAATCCACTTCTCACCATTGCCTGGGACAAAACTGTACCTTTAAAACATTATTTGGTGAATGATTAAGGTAGCAAATGTAGGATCATCTGTGCAGTGGGTGAGCAATTAATCAAAAACAATTTTGCCAATTAATTTTAAAGAGACAGTTGGTGTAAAGCGTTTTGAGAAGGATGGTTTTTGCTGGTGTTTCCTTTGCTGGTTTCTTGCATCTGTCGTTTCAGTTTGAAAAGAGAATGAGCTCACTCTGTAGATGAGGGACGAGGCTGTGAACCCTCTGGTCTTTTTCAGTTTCTTTCCCAAGAAACTGGATCCCTTTCAGTGGCTGCGGTTGTGAGCAGCCCCCAACCACAGCCCATCCCAGTGACATAGCTTGAGTTATGTAGGCTGAAGATTTAAGAGTCGCCCTGGAGCTAATAGCTCCCAGGGCAAGGTGCCATCAAAACCCCCATGAAAGTCATGTAAATCAAATCAAAAACACAACAAACCAATTAAAGCCAAATTGTAGAAGAGCAGCAAATTAAAAGCAGCAGAGGTTAAAATAAGCAGCCCAAAGAAAAAACTAAAAATATCAAAGATGAATTGACTCCAACAGCAAGTCGTAGAGGCAGAAATGCAAGAACAGCTACGATGATGAAGAAATGGTTTGACATTATAAAGTAGACTGGGGGGGGGGGAAATGCTCCAGAGGTAGGAAAGGGGGCGCCATCTTATTGGAGAGATAAGATTCGCCAGAACCCATCTGCCACACCTCAGCGGATTAACAGCATCCTGACCAGGACCTCTCACGGCACAGTTAGATTAGGAACAAGCGGGCAAAAGCTGCTTCTTCAAATTCCCTAGCTCTAGAGCAGAAAAGCCTTTATTGGTTAGGGCGGTGACATTGATCCCGGCTTTGCCACCATCAGAGGCACTTAGTTGTACAAGCTGATTAGGTAAGGTTGGTCTTTCTCAGCCCAGCACACCTCATAGAGTTGTGGTGGAGAGAAAAATAAGAGGAAGGTGGGCTAATGTGCAGTGATGGAAAGGCAGGGTAAGTGTTTAACTCCTGAATAAATGGAAAGAGGCATTCTTGGTGTCAAACCAGAGGCTAGGCCAGGGGTCTTCAAACTTGGCCCTTTTATGACTTGTGAACTTCAACTCCCAGAATTCCTCAGTCGGCCATTTTGATGAAACTGCGGGCTTGGATCCAGACCAGGGGTCTTCTTTTATGACTGCCTGGCTGAGGAATTCTGGGAGTTGAAGTCCACAAGTCATAAAAGGGCCAAGTTTGAAGACCCCTGGGCTAGTGCTAGGACCAGCTATGAGGGAGGTATTTGATCCTGGTGTGGTCCAGTCGAGAAGACCAATGCTACAGCTTCCATTGCTGGTTTCTTCTTCATACTCTGTTTACAGTATGCAGAAATATGGCTAGTCTTCAAGATGGGAATGTTCCCAAGCTGTGGTTTGGATGGGCTCAGAACATGGGGTCATTAGGAGAACCTTGTGTAGCTACTGCGTCTGTTCAGCTTTCGGTCTTCAGCAACAGCTGTAGATATATCTATCTCTGGAAGGAGAGAAAGCCATAAAGCTGTGCACACTTTCAAAATGAGCGAGATTAAAAAAAAAGAATCTGAAATCTCACACAATCACAATTTCTTTCTGTTTCTCATTCAAGCGGCCACCTCTTCTTTCCCCCCAAGCTGTCTGATGCTTTTAGTCAGTGCAATTCCTATAGCAGCTGCATCATTTTTTTTTTAACCTGAACTGTTGAGTCCCTTTAGCTATGCAGATTCGTCACCGTTGGCAAACTTCTCTTCCACAAGCCGCTCTAGTTGTCTTTTAAAACCATTTAAAGAAGCTCAACATGTTAGCGAATTCCTTAAGCTCCCCCTCATGACTGTTTATTGGAGCCTAATATTTTTTGAGATGAGCTATGCAGGAGTTACTCTGGTCTTTCCGAAGACAATAAAAGGTTTGGGGCTGGTGGGAGTTTTGAAAGCACGTTGTCAGTCGCTTACAAAATGGCTGTCGGGAGGTAGGGGCTTCCCTATTGCAGAATGGCTGCTGTGGGCCACTCAGCCCCCCCCCCATTCCAGATGGTGAGCTGTTTGATTGTCCCCGGTCACCCCCAGATTCATCCTGCCATCTGTCAGGTTATCTTTGTTTTTTGTTTTTGTACGCCAAAGCAGGCACCTTTCCTAACCAGGGTCTGAATTGCAACTCTCCTTGTTTGTTTGTTTTTAATTGTAATGTTTGTGGACCTCTCAGGGCCCTGAGGTGAAAATAACAATGAGGCTGGAAGCAGAGCGCTTGCTTTACCGAATGTCAGCTCCTAATTAAAAGAGAGAGAGAGAGAAAGAGTTTTTCAACTTTCTTGGCAGCAGTTCAGAAGCGGGTTGCGAAAATAAAGGTTGTTTATGATTTAGAAGGAGAGGGAGTTTGGGGGGACATCAAAGGGAAAATCCAGAGGAGCCAAGATAGAGAAAAGATGCTGATGCCCTAGAAAAAGTGCAGAGAAGAGCAACAAAGCTGATAATGGGGTCTGGAGGCTAAACCCTTCGATCAATGATTGGGCTACAGGTGGTCCTCGAGTTACAATTGAGGCCCAAAATCTATATTATGAGTGAAACACTTGTTAAGTGAGTTTCGTCCCATTTTACGACCTTTCTTGCCACAGTTGTTAAGTGAATGACTGCAGTTGTTAAGTTAGTAACACGGTTGTTAAGTGAATCTGGCTTCCCCATTGACTTTGTTTCTCGGAAGGACACAAAAGGGGACGTCTGTGAAGATTTTAAAAAATCGCCACCAATCTTCCCATTTCCATTTTCACCACCACCATCCTATCAGAGCCATCCTATTTCCGCCCTCCCATCAACAAATGTCAACTGTCAATAACTGCCTTTCTGTCTCCCACACCAGGGGTAGGCAACCTTGGCTCTTTTATGACTGGTGGACTTCAACTCCCAGAATTCCTGAGCTAGCATGGCTCAGCTTGGAAACCTCTCCCTTTCACCTCAGTGTGGCTGGCTCAGGAATTCTGGGAGTTGAAGTCCACGAATCATAAAAGAGCCAAGGTTGCCTACCCCTGTCCTACACCATCTGATAGAATGGATGAAGCTTCCAGGATAAAAATAAACACCACTTTTGGTACCAAAGAGGATCACGTGACTCCGGGGCACTGCAGCTGTCATAAATACAAGTCAATCGCCAAGGGGGTCCGAATTTTGATCACGTGACCAGGGGGATGTCGGCATGGTTGCGAGTGTGGAAACGGCAGTAAGTCCCTTTTTCAAGTGGTCAACGGCCAACTCGCCATGGGAATTGTTTTCAGCGCTAGATTACCGTCACCATTTCATTCCATTACTTTTATTATTAGTCAGTCTGTTTTTGTCGAAATCATTGTAACTCTTGTGTTTCTGGATTGACTTTATTATTAT